TTTTAACAATTTATTCTTCATAAAAGTGAGGGACTAACACAGCTGAATGAGAGCCCGACGTCACTCAGGCAGTCATTCGTTACACTAGCTTTTACCACACTGCTCTGCCAATCCTGACCTACCCTGTCCCGCTAGTCCAGCCCTACACCCATAGCAATCCAGCCAGTGTACCACACTAATGACCTGCAGAATAGTACCTTTTACTATTCCAGTCCTTTGCGTCTCTGCCCACAAAACATTGAGGAATCCATCTTTGTACTGTACAATAACATTCTCAAAAAAGAGAGCATAACACCACGTTATTGACCTTTCTGTCCTTTGAGCCTGAATTTCACACACATTTATCCTAAACCCTGCTTTTTTTTTAAAGAGTCCACTCCAACAGCAAGAATGCCCTCCGAACTAGCATCTAGGCAGGCAGCGGAACAAGAGCATAAATTCCGATGCACTGCTTCATTGCAGATAGAGCGTCAAGTTCCCTTTTGCCAAACATGACATGACAAAAGCAACAGAAGATGGAAAACAGAAAGATGCAGAAGCCCAAAGAGCATCTAGAAAATATCCTATAAATAAGGCTACGTTTTAGTCACGGGTATTTTTAGTAAAAATCATGGACGGGTCACGGGCAGTAAACAAAAATTCATGGCCTGTGACCTGTTCATGACTTGTACTATATACCCCTGACTAAATCTTGGGGAGGGGGTGGCCCGGGGGGCGCTGCAGGTGCTCAGGGGGCAACCTGGGGACCCCCGCTGGTGCTGGGTTGGCGGGGCTGGTAGGCTCCCTACCCGGCTCTGCACCTCCCCAGGAGCAGCAACCTCCCTCAGCTCCTAGGCAGAGGCAGAGGTGCGGCCATGCAGCTCTCCACACTGCATCCTCCCTGAGTGCCGGCTCCTCAGTTCCCATTGGCCAGGAACCATGGCCAATGGGAGCTGCGGGGGTGGTGCCTATAGGCGGAGGCAGTGCGCAGAGCCCCCGGGACGCACCTCCCCGTATGAGCCACAGGATGTTGCTGCTTCCGAGGAACCCCCTGAGGTAAGTGCCGCTCAGAGCCCTCACCCTATCTCACAGGCCAACCTCCAGCCCTGAGCCCCACACAAAAACTCCTGCTGCTGCTAGGGGAAGGGAGCGGTGATCCGAGACTGCCCCAGCAGCAGACGGTGCGGCGGGCCGCTACAGAAGTCATGGAGGTCACAGAAAGCCATTAAATCTGTGACTTCCGTCACCTGTGTGACAAACTCACAGCATTACGTATAAGACACTGTAATTCATAGATTCAGGGGCCAGAAAGAACCACTGTAATCATCCAGTCTGCCCTCCTGCATAACACAGACCACAGAATGTCCCTGAACTAATTCCTGTTTGAACTACGGCAGATCTTTTAGAAAAACATCTAATCTTGATTTTAAAATTGCCAGAGATGGAGAATCCACCACAACCTCTGGTAAACTATCCCTATGCAATCTCCCTGGGCCTCTCTGTTTGGCCCAAACTTCCCACGCTGGTTGGCTCAGGGCCCTCTTCTCCTCAGCTTCTCCCCCACCTCTGTGGTTTAACATGATTCCCCCCAACACACAATTTTGCTCAGGACTGACTTTCAAATTAGAGTGTATCTCTACTGGATTCAACCTCACAACATTATCTCCATGTTACCCCTTCCGTACCCTTCCATGGTACCTGCTGGGTCATTTCCAATGCTGGGATTAAGCAACCGGATCCAGCTGTAACAGCCTCCCTACAACATCAGATCCTGGAAACTGACATTTCTCTGCTTGTATGGGGCTCAAACAGGAAGGAGACAGGTGGAGGGAGAGTCCCAGTCACTTTGCTGCAGGGAGCAAAGTGCTTTGAAAGCCAGGATGAAGAGTAACAATCTCTTACTCTCTGCCTCCCCATTCCCCAGGCAGAGAACCCTGCACAATGCTGTTCTGTTTGCACTAAGCACTTTAGGGATCACTAGGTAGTGCACTCCCAAGTGGCACTGTCAAGACATTAGTACATTAGTGATGTTAGGTCACCTTGTTTTAAGAGCCAGGCAGCAATACTGCATCCCAGTCATCAGATAAGTAGAGATTCCCATCAAAAACACACATATTTCCCATCCCTATGGACACCCCCTCCCAAATACATGCACACACAAACACCCTCCACTACACCCAAACAATCCTCAGTCTCCATACATCTAAACACCCACCTCCCGTATGCTCACACACCACTAATCTTCCCCTCCAACACAAACACTAAAAACCTCCACTCACACACAACCTTCCCTCCCTGCCCACCTTCCCCCATACACACACACACAACCTCCTCTCCCCTCCACATACACACACTCATTCTTGTCTCCCTGAACAACCTCTCCCACACACATCCAACACCAATCCATACGCATGCACATACACATGCCTCTGCTTCACTTCAGACACAACCCCCTCCATGTACACTTTCCTGCCCCCATAAAGCCTTTCTTACACAACAAAGCCTCCTGCCCCCCAGTCAACACACTGACTTCTGCTTTACCCCACCACAACCCCACTCCACATACCACTCTCCTCCACATACACCCCCCAATTCTCAGTCATCACCTATATATATATATAATCCCCTTCTCACCATCCTTACACACACACACACCAAATCCCCATCCCCTCACACCCACTTTCCCATCTGCATTCTCACACACAGCCCCTGTCCCCCACCCTTCACAATCCTTCCTCTGCATCAACACATGCAGACAAAAAAAATTTCCTAGCACAAGCCTTTGCCCAGTGCACACGTACCTTCCCCGCACACCTGCAGAGCCCTCCTCTGTACACACACAAAGATCCCCTTCTGTACATACACACACAGTGCCCCCCTGTACACATACAGAGACACGCACAGACACAGTCTGTCCTGTGCACACACACACAAACATACAGCCCCCTTGTATACACTCACAGACACCACAGACACACACACACAGCCCCCTTGTGCACACACACAACCACCCTGTACAGACACACATACCCTGTACACACACACACAAACACACCCAGCCTGTCCTGTACACACACAGACACACAGATCCCCTTATGTACATACATACACATACACAGCCCCCCTGTACACACACACACACACAGAGACCCATCTGAATTTCCACACACAGACACACAGCCCCCTGTACACACACACACACACACACACACAGTCGGCCCCTCTGTGCACACACACACACCCTGTATACACACACGCAGCCCCCTGTACACACACACACACACGCCCCCGTACACACACAACCCCTCTTTATATCTACACACACAGCCATACACACACACACACACGCCCCCTATGTACAGCCACACAGCCACACACACAGCGGCCTGTACACACACACACACTCAGCCCCTCTGTATACACACACACACACACACAAACCCCCTGTATACACACACGCAGCCCCCTGTACACACACACACACACGCCCCCGTACACACACAACCCCTC